CTTCATGAGCGCCGCCTACGGGAAACGCGGGAAAACTCTTCCCGCGCCGACAGCAATAGACGGAGCCTCAATCAAGCACTATCCCTCCCCGGACAATAAACCCTCCATCACGACAACAGCAACCGTACCGGCTGCATAAAAACACTTCCCATACCTCCAAGTTGGGACGTTTTTACCTGAACCAACACAAAACTATTGAAGTAAATGTATTTTATAGTGCGTCGCACCAAAAACTTTTGTTTGCCACGCGGGATAGCGTGCGCAAAATGTAAGAACTGAAACAATTAAAACAAACTAAAAACAATTTCAAGCACTCTTCTCTGCCAGTAAGGGCCCAAATCAACATCCGAAGGCGATGCATCTCCCTCCCAACACCCCCTGCGACACCATTTGAGCTCGAGACGGGACTGCGGAGAGAACGCTGTCGGCTTTCTCTCCGGCGTCGTACTCGGGTACAACCCCGCCTCGGCAAGACAGCTCGGCGTGCAATCTTGTCGCTAAGGATCCTCCTGCACCAACGTGTTCAATTCACCGTTGTAGCATATAACACACGTGTCCTATTTTAGTCGTCACCGAAAGGCGGGCCAACCTCAAGGTTACACGTACAAATTCGACTCGATGTTTGCCCTCACGAAAAACATATATTTACCACCACCCACAAAGATTCATGTTTTCAAATTTATCGACCAACCACCGACAAGAAATTCACACCCAAGACCATCTCGCCTCGCGGCTCATCTCTTGTCCCGGGTGCCCGCAAGGCGAGACGTACAACCCTAAATCTATCCATCGCTGTAATCGAAACCCGGCCTGTCTGTCTGCCTACACCGACGCCTTGTACAACAGCACAGCTCTTGACGCTGCAGAAGAAGACTGCGCACATAAAACGTTCGCCACCCCCCACGCGCATCATCAAAACACGACACACGCTCTCGACAAGAAAAACAAAGTATACCCCGTTGTTGGCATGCCCCTCGGTGTAATCGGCCGCTGTACGGCCGCCACTTCTTTCCCCGCCTCGCCAAAAACTGATCAGCAGCGAGTGTAGTGCCCGGGACCCCCCGCCTGCCGGGCAGTCCAGTCGAGTCCGGCGTCACCTCAGGCCCCCTTCGTGGCTTCGCGCGTCTCCAGCATCCCCCTTTCCAGTCGACATGGTCGACCGATAGACGTTGTAAGCCTCCACGTTTCGGTGCCGCTGCTGCCGCCGCTCATCACCGCCGCTGCGCGTCCTCGTAGGACGGTAGATGGAGATCGGCGGGACCGATGTACGACCCCCAGCCGTTCTCCGAGAGCTCGTCGTCGTCTACCACGCCGCTCCCGCGCCTGCCGCCGCCGCCGTGCCCGTCTAGGGGGCCAATCATGTCTTCCTCGTCACCCGGCGGAGAGGCGCTCCGACCGGTGCCCGCGGGTCCGCTCGAGTCGCTCACGGCCCCGCTGCCCCCGTGAGGCACCGGCGAGGCGGTGTGCGGCGAGAAGCTGCCCGAAGCCGGGAAAATCCTCGCCCCCGGCCCGCCCTGCTGGCTGCCGCTGCTGCCGAAACTGGCGCCGGCGCCGGCGCCGGCGCCGC